GGGCCTCCACCACCACCACCACCACCACCACCACCCCGGCGGCCACCACTACGACCACCACCACCGCCGCCGCCACCACCTCCACCTCCACCACGGCGGCGCCTCTGGAAGACGAGGCCACCGTCCTGCCCACGGCCACCGAGCCCACCGACACAGACGGTGAGCCACTGCCAGCGCCCCTTCCACACACACTCACGCTCATTTAACTAGTAGAGCTATAACAGCCATTATTTGTACATTTCAAATTCTGAAAATTCAGATAGTTAATAGGAAATGAGACCTGCACGATTCTCTTAAGCGTCCTTTACGCCATCCGAGGACAAAGTTTAATTAAAAAAATTGGAACTGTTTTTGAAGTAAAGACTGTCGAGATATAATATCAAGTACCCCCTAAAATGAAAAAATTCGTTTTAAGCTCAGAGTGACTCGAATTCATTTTAATCCTATGGAGAATATCAATTTTGGAGAAAATCGGTTCAATGGATTAAGCACAAGCTTTGTTCACAAACAAGCAGTCGGACGGGCAGAAAAATGTTTTTCTGAGACTGATGGTGAGCGATTTCAAATACTGCTCGCAATCGTGTTAGGGATGCGACACGGATGTCGATTTTTTCAAAACATTAATGTTTTTATAAACCACTGATATATTTCACATCAATATTTTGAAGCAAACATTTTTTAACATTGATGTTGCATTCCAAGTTTTTACGTTGTTCATATTATTTAAATTTAATACGTGCCAAAATTCTACAATAATTTTCCAATACATATAAATTCAATATTTTTTCTTCCAAAGACGGATAATTAAAAACCGTGTTTTTGAAAAAAACAAAATATTTTGTTATTGAACTATCGAAATAAAGTTTTGGTAATTATCCTGATGATTTTTACCTTTGTTTTGATTGCCAAATCTAAATTATTAATAAACGAGACTACTTTCAAATTACCCCACCCCAACGTGAGTTTCAATGGTTTCTTATCCAGTTGTAAAAATATGAATATTTTTCTGGCGAATTCGTACCCTCAACATACATGACGATGAAATACATCCTCGTCAATACAAGATGTTAGACACTATTACCGAAGCGATGTTCGCCCATGGAATTAAATATCAAGTAATTAGTCAATTTCACACACAGTTGCCCTTTCTAAACAGCTCGCGTAGAATCGAGTGTCGAACCGGCCAAAATGTAATAAAATCTCATCCTGCCGATAATAATAGAGGAACATTACTTTGAGGCCTTTCGCCTAAAACATTCACATTTAAGGACCTAGGAACGCTTCCCTTTGGCGATATATATCTGCATAATTTCACCAAAGCTGCCAGAGTATTGCGGGTTGCATATGCCACGAATATTTACATGCTTTTCTTCAACAAAGCCTTCACATTTTTAACTGCAGAGTGCAACTCGTCGCGTCCCGTAAAATTATCTTTCCTCATTAATGAATATCGGTGGCGTGTGCGAGGCGCAAAACGCGTCTATTCCACTGAGTGGTTTGTGTGTCGCGGCGGCAGGGGAGGAGGGGAAGACGGAGGCGGAGACAGCGACGCGGCGCACGCGACGGCCGGGCAGCGGCAGCGGCGGTGGCAAGAAGAAGAAGAACAAGAACAAGCGGCGCAAGAACAGGCCCGGCAGCGCCAGCGCCAGCGGCGCCAACGGCACGGCGCTCGCAGAGAGCAAGGTGGGCGAGCAGGCCGACGACGGCGCCCTCGCCAACGGCACGCGCCCCGCCCACGCCAAGGACCGCCCGCTCACCACGCGCATCTACAACTACCTCGCGCGGGAGGTGAGCTCTCACTAATCACATCACGTCTCACATCGCGTCTCACATCGCGTCTCACCTCGCGTCTCACCTCGCGTCTCACCTCGCGTCTCTCCTCGCGTCTCTCCTCGCGTCTCTCCTCGCGTCTCTCCTCGCGTCTCTCCTCGCGTCTCTCTTCACGTCTCTCCTCACGTCTCTCTTCACGTCTCTCTTCACGTCTCTCTTCACGTCTCTCTTCGCGTCTCTCTTCGCGTCTCACATCACGTTTCACATCACATCTCAAACTCGTGCCATATCACGACACCCAGTACGTCATTCATGGATTACACATCACACAATCCATCACGTCTCCCATCACGTCTCTCCTTCCATTCACCTATAATGTCCTTCATACCAAACATCGCTCGTGTCGTCTACCATCAAGTCACCCATGACAAGTTCCTTAATGTCTTCCATCGCATTTCACATCACGTTTCGCAACACATCATTCATCACGTTTTCCATGACAACACAAATCATCACATCACGTCATCCATCATGCCACCCATGAAATCACGCATCACATTACCCATTGTCAGCCATCACATCATCTATAACTCATTACATCAGCCGTCACACATCACACATCATCCGCGACGTCTCGTTTTACGCCGTCCCTCACGCCTCCCATTACGACATTCCTTCACATCGACACCCTTCGCATCGCTCATCGAGGCACATCACGTCTCCCATCACACGCCGCGGGACCGGAGTGAGCTCCCCTTGTTTTGCTTTGGTGCGGCAGGTGATGCCGTCGTTCGGCGTGGGGCTGCTGGGCCTGGCCATCACCGCGGGGCTGGCCGGCCTCATCATGTACCCGTTCGGCGGTGGCGCCGCCAAGCGGACCTACGAGGTGGACGCGCCCGCGCTGCCCTCGCACGGCAACTTCTACTACTACGGCGGCGACTACGACCAGGGCGACGACCACGGGCAGGCGGAGGAGTCAGTCATTCGCAAGGTAAGCCTTCTTCAGGGCACGGCTTTCAATTACGCCAACACAAATGGGGTAATGAGAGCCCAGGATTTTTGTCGGCGGAGGAGGCAGCTGGAGGAATAGTGTACAGCCGACTTGAGTGTTTTCTTTGCGGAATATAAAATATATAAACCTCTAGGAATATATCGCTCTATTTAATGTTTATACATAGGGCGACTTTCTACGTTGGTTCCTGCACCTTGGTTCCTCTGTGTGTTAAATGTGTAACCGCGTTGCGCAGATGTCTGAGGGCTACTAGTGTTTGTGTGTGTGTGTGTGTGTGTGGTAGTGTAACGCAGGTGTCGGAGAGCGATAAGCTTGCTAGTGTGTTCGAGGGCGATAGCCTACTAGTTGGTGACAGAGTCTTACGCCTATGTCGGACGCCTATGCCGCACTACTAGTGTGCGGCTGAGTGTGTGGCCGTGTTGCGCAGGTGTGGGAGGTCGATAACCTTGGTAGTGTGTTCGAGGGCGATGGTCTACTAGTGTGTGGCAGAGTGTGTTACGCCTACGTCGGAGGGCGAAAAGCGTCTGAGAGTGTGGTCGCGTGGCGCAGGTGTTCGAGGGCATGCAGGGCGCGGAGGGCGAGCAGGCCGAGGAGCAGCGCTACGCGGGCGACGGCGGCGACGCGGCGGTGGCCGGCGGCACCGTCACCACCTACGCGGGCGACGTCCACGGCGGGCAGCCCTACGCCCCGCAGGGCTTCGGCGGCGGACCCGCGCTGGTACGCTCACACTCACTCATCCATTCTTTCTTTCTTTGATCCATCCATTTACTGATCTATTCATTCATTCGCTTTCTGACGCGTCAACTGCTACGGTCGTTACTTCCGGTACTAGCTAATGTATGTGTCACTCATCCTCCGCTTCTACATGGGAACTTCCCCCTCTAGATATCTCCCCCGCAGCGGGGCACCGCTCCATCTGGAACAAGCACTAAGGTCCCGAACTATCTTACGTCATGCGTAGAACATGGAAGAAGAGATAATCTTTACTTCCTCTTCCTTATCCTATCCATACCCCTGGCGGGAATGGTGCCCCGCTGTTGGGAGATACCTGGATGGGGGAACCACGCAAGCCGACATGTACATCGGCGCCGGATCTCTCCATCCAGTGGGGAAAGATCACCATCACCTCCCGAGGAAACCATGCGCTACACTTACGGGGCTAATGACCTTAGCAGTTGACGTGCCCGGAATCAGTAATCAATTAACCAATGACGCCTAAATTTAGATTTTTTAAAGTGGCGTGTCCAGGTCGCGCACGAAAAAGGGAGGGGAAGGCAAACTTCAAGAGGGAGCTGCAACTTCAGTAACGTACTAACGTTGCATCCCCTATTGAAATCTGCCTTCCCTCTTTCTTTTTCGTGCGTAACCTCTACAAGTCACTTAAAAAATCTAAGCAGAGAAGTTTGTAACATTTCTCGAGACTGTGCTCCCGCAGGCGTACAACGGCGCAGGCAACTACTACAACGTGGAGCAGGCGAACAAGTACTACTCGTCGTCGCCGTCGGGTCGCGTGGAGTCGGGGCCGATGCACACAGCGCCCGCGCCCAACGCCACCGCCGCCGACGGCCGAGTGCGCTACCACGAGGCAGCCCCCGCCCCGGCCGCGGCCCCACCCTCGGCCCCCGCCGACGCCGGCGGGCCCTCGCCCAACACGCAGCACATCACCAAGAAGTCCGACTACTACGCCTACAACAGCGCCGGCCGCGTGCGCTACAGGGACGTCGGCACCGGCCACGTCACCGCCGACCTCACGCAGGCGCCCCGCGTGCGCTTCAGAGAGGTCCGTCCCCCCCCCGCCTCTTGAGGCTTGCAATTCTTTAATAATCCTATGGAATACTTCACTAACACGGACAATTATATGGATTTCGCCCTGGGTTCTAAAACGTTGCGACAGGAGGTTAGGGGTCGTCCATAAAATACGTAACGCTGGAAAAGGGGGAAGGGGCTACATGCAGCGTTACGGTACGTTACGTAGGGGGAGTGGCGTCACAGTTCAGTGTTATGTAATGATATTTACTTTTTAAATCTTTCAACGCTTTCAACAAATTGCTGAAATAATACCTTTTATGCAGTCTTATGCTAAAACATTACCTTATTAATAAATTAAATTAAATATATAGTAAATTAAAGAAGTCATATTCTATAAATTGTGACAATTAAAACATTTTTCATCAATGATACATATTCATTGAATCTTTGGGGGGGGGCATGTCACAAGGGTTATGTAATTATTAGAGGAAGGTTCAAGTGCGCGTTACAGGGGGAAAGGGGGTATTCAAAATACTCCAAATTTATGTTACGTAGTTCAGGCCTCTTATTTCATCACTTGTGTTCGTCCATGAACCCTACTCCTGGCCAGGAGGCAGAGGGGTCCATAGATTGTTAAATTGCAACAAATTTTTGTCAATTGGTATATCTACAACAATACCAATGGTTTACAGCTTCCAAAAAATTGAAATATAAAGCACGATAATCGTTTAACTTCTACGCCCTCTCGTAATGCGAGGGTTAAAGGATGCGAAAGGGAATAGGAAGTAGGCTATTTCTCTCGCTTTCATCAAAGTTAGAATATGTTATATTAATATGTTATTGGTATAATATATTATAAAAATATATTCCTTTGCGAAAAACGTTTGTTGAACGTTTATTCTCAAGTATAGAAATAAATTATTGAAAGCACGACGTGTAGTAAAGCGGAAAGAAAAACAACAAATCGAAACAAAGTAGCTTTTAAGCCAGGTACACAGATCGCACTGAGATATTTTGGTCAAAAAACATTACGGACATACTTCACCGACTGCATTCACTTTCTGGGAACGGTAAGGAGTGTTTGTACGGCGAAGCGTTGCAGCAATGGACAGCACAACCGATGTTCTGAGCTTGTACTTTGCACGTTTCGCACCATTTTCATGCATCTGCACATGCTCAGAAAATCGAGACTGCAATTAGAGCGTAGGCTTCCGCGGCCGGAGGCAGCAGCTATTTTGCTCCCCGGGAGACGCCGCGACCTAGGTACAGGTGTCACCGTTTCGGCCGCCATTCTGCGACCTTCATCAGATCGAAAGGCCCAGAATGGCGACCAAAACGTTGGCACCTGTGCCTAGGTTCCGGATAGCCAATAAATGTAGACTGCAGTCGATTGCTGCGTGGAAAACCGTGCACAAATATTCCTTGATGTCATGATCTGTGCTGGCCGAGTGACGCCGCGTCGAAGGCTGAGGTGCCGACGTATCATGGCCTTCGTCAGGGCTGTATTGCCGCCCGACAGCCACGAAGAAGACTACGATACGATGGTGAAAACGTCGGCCTCTCAGCCTTTGTCCCGGCATCACCCGGACATGGTCGCAGAACCCTACGATATCATCGATAGCGATGTGCCCTCCACGTGTAATCTCCTTGTCTTCGGCAGGTGGGCAGCGACACGGTGCACTACAGCCTGAGCGACCAGACGTCCAGCGAGGGCGGCGTCGAGCACGGCCCGCGCCACGTGCGGGTGCGCAGGCAGACGCTCGACATGGCGGACATCGGGCGCAAGATGGCGGACGCCCACCGCCAGATGGCGGCCGAGGTCGCCGACTTCGCCGACCACGCCAAGAAGGTCTCCGACAAGTCGGTCGAGCTCGGGAACGAGATCGAGATGCTCTTCGCCAAGAAGGGCACCAAACCGAAGAAGCCCATGCAGGCGGCAAAGCCCATCAAAATGAAGAAGGAAGAGAAAGACGACGACTGTGACGAGCAGGTCACGAAATCTGTAATGGACGAGGAGGAAGATGACGAGTTGAGCACTTCCATTATGGACCCAGAAAACTTCACCGACGGTCCGTCTGACTACGAAACGCACGTCGAGTTGGTGACCGGGGTTCCAGATCACACGTCCGTGGAGGAGCTGGCGGAACAAGTGCAAGACGACGGCGTGATGAACGAGTTCGAGTCGGAAATGCCGGTGTACGTGCGGCCCACGTACTCCAGCACGGAGCAGGTGGAGGCGGACACCACCACCACGGACACCGCAGAGCAGCCTACGACCGTTCCGGAAACGTCCACCGGCGGCGCTCCCGACGCGGCAGAGGCGACCACCGTCCACAGCCCGCGCCCACCGCCCCAGTCCTCCATAGTCGACCTCCTCAAGCAGATCGCGCAGCTCAAGATCAGGCTCGGGATCGACTTCCTTAAGTCCACCTCGCGCGCCTTCGCCAGCTACTTGGACGGCCTCCAGAGGAACATGGAGGACGCCATCAAGCAGGGCAGCACCGCGCAGTACAGGCGCACCAACTTCTGGAACTACAGGCGGTCTAAACGCGACGCCAAGAAGACTTTCAACTTGAAGAAAAATAAGAGCAAGTCAGACTAAATCCAACAGTCCAACTTTCTGTTTAGACATGCGAAAATTTGTAACCGACATCGTCTGCTCTGACCCGCGGAAAATCCAGTTTTTCCGACTTTTGCGGTTACATAACTGCAGCACAAAAGGTGTACTAGGGCAAGAGATGACGAGAACTTCAACTTGAAATGTCAAAGTTGACTTTAAAATCAGTGGACCTCTAAAATCTATTTATGTATTCTGTGGTACTTCAAATTGCTCTACTTCCGTCCCATGGTTAATGGAAATGTGTATATATTATTTTAATAACTGGAAGTAGGCCTAAGTGCAGGAACAAATAATGCAGCTGTCTTCTTGCGATAACGTTTTGAGGACAAGTATTTTATTCATAATAAAAGCACGAATGAGTTATGTACAGTGATGATCGCTAGTACAAAGTTTTTATGAAATGGTGTCATTGGCTAGTTGAATTGAATATTTCCTAACTGAGAAAGTTATGCTATACTAATTAATTAATTTCCTGCACATTAGGACTGTTTAGGGTATGATTTTAAACAGGTTAATTCCATATTCCATTCTGGCTGGAAACATAAAAGAAAAAGAGCAAATCATACGTGCTGTAAGTATTCTACACGGTAGTATTAATATTTTATGTCCAAATCACAAGAGTTCGAAATTTAAATAATGGTAACTGCGTAATAATACAAGCCACAGAAGTACGGACTTTCCACTTTAAACGCCATTTTCATGACACAACCTCCAATTACGTTTGATTTGAAACAAATCAGTGTAAAATAATTGAATCGTTTATGATCTTAAATCAAAATGGCCCAATGAAAAGTTATCTGATCTTTACTTCTTGGTAGGAAGTGATCATTTCCTTTTCCTTACGTTTTTTGCCACTCAAAAAGGCCGTTCGCCAGCCGGAATGGGACTTCACCAAAAACAAATTCCCTGTCAGCTCGGTGGCCTCATAATTGCTTTGTTTTCCCTTGTGAGACCATCGGTCTGAAAGGACATCGTGGAGTCACTAACAGTTCTTAAGATTTTATTTCGTTCGGTATTATGTGTTTCAGAATCCGTTTTACAGTCATTTTTCGTCTTTTTCTGGGCAGAAAATGGATAGAAAGGGGACGTTTCTTTCTACACGGTACCCGTTCGATATCGAAAATGAAGGATCGAGACACCTTTTTCGCCGCCACTTCGATATTTGCACAAAAACCCCTGAACGCCTCAACAGATGTCATTGAAACACAGTTTCTTTGACGACAGTTTTCATTATAACAAAACAAATCATTTCTCAACCTATTGAACACACAGAAAACTACACGAAAAGGA